TATTACTGACATTACTGGCATAAAAAATATTTTGATTTATTGTTTTGTTATTACTAGTATAATATCTGTAAAGGCTTAAACTAATGGCTGACTTAATGGTTAAAAACAATTATGCCTTAAAATAAAAATGTAAGGCATATTTGTTTTTAAGTATTAAATCATATGTTTATCTTTACTTAATTTGAAGGAAAAACAAAGACAGAGATATAATTTAACTATCAATTAACTTACCAAGAAGTTGGAACAATCGATCCTTAAACCTTAATCATATATATTATTTTGTTAACATTTACAAGAAATATTTATAAGTGTAAGAAATACTTATACATACTTATACATGTAAAAATATTAAATTAACAATAATTAAACTGTATTACACATTGTCGTAAGTTCACAAGATAGCTATTCTGCTTAGGTCCTGTATGAACGTATAGATTTCCTGTAATAACATAACATAACTTTATAATGCAATGTTGTTTTATAAATTATTCGTAAGTATTTCAAATTTAATTTTACTGTCAAACTACTCTTAACTTAACCTTATCCGCTTTTATTTTAAAGTAATACATTAGAAGTAGCCATCTTTACTAGTAGCGATATCACAAACGAATCCAGTAGAAAATTCATAGCGGAGTTCGATCCATCGGAAACAGATGTCTCAACTGTTGAGTCTACTGAATGCAGCCAATGATAAAGAACGCTCAGGCCAACCGTAAAAGTTTGAAGACACCGATTTGCAGGCATTATTGGACGAAAACTCTACTCAAACGCTCCAAGAATTGTCTGCAGCATTAAATGTTACTCCGATGGCTGTTTCCAAACGTCTACATGCAATGGGAAAAATTCAAAAGGAGGGAAAATGGGTACCACACGAATTAACCGCAAATGCCATTGCGAATCGCTTAAACATCTCTATTTCTCTGCTCGCCAGGCAGAAAAAGAAGAGTTTTTTGTGGCGCATAGTGACTGGCGATGAAAAATGGATATACTTCGATAATCCTAAACGAAGAAAATCATGGGTAGACCCTGGCCAACCATCGACATCCACCAAAGAGAAATATTCATGGCCACAAAGCAATGCTTTGCATTTGGTGGGATATGCACGGCGTCGTTTATTATGAGCTACTCAGACCGAACGAAAGTATCACGTGGGATTGATATCAATCACAATTAAACCGTCTGAATGAAGCATTGTTGGAAAAAAGGCCAGCAGTAGCCAGCAATCGACGTAAAGTCATGCTTTTGCACGACAACGCTCGACAACACGTTGCCAAAGCCGTCAAAGAAGGGTGTATATCAGTTGGACACGGGGCGATTGGACACAGTCCAATCACAAGTCGCTGTTCCAAGGGACCCTACAAACGTCTCTAATCACACGGTGCTGTGATTGGCACCGTGTCCAAGTACACCGCTCCCGTCAAAGAAACACTGATGCAGCTCGAGTGGGAAGTTCTCCCGCACC